GATGCCACCAAGGCCAAGCAATGCACCTCCTGTTTATTCAGCACCTTAGGTCCTTCAGAATGTTTTTATGTGTTACCTTATATGTGATACTAGTCTTTCAAGGTAAGAACAATTCCATGATTTAATCAATAGGTATCTACAGAGTATCTACTAAGGCCCAGATACTGTTTCTACTCACTGAGCAAGGAACAAGGCCAAGCCCCCAACTCTTGAAACTTACATCTTAGCGGGGGTAGGGGAAGGGCAGATAAATACTTACATACGATATAAAGTTAGCAATAAGTGCTATTAAGAAAAACAGGGCAAAATAAAGGGGTAGAGGATGACAGAGAGTACTATACTAGACAGAAGGATCAAGAATGGCCTCTGTGAAGAGACATTTGGGCAGAAATCTGAAGGAAGTGAGGAAGCATGTCATGTGGGTATTTGAGAAAAGAGCATTCCAGCCAGAGGAAAAAGCAAATGTAAAAGCAGTTGGGAATGTTTCCAACCACGGGGGAAGAGCAGAAAGAACAGTGTGGCCAGAGTGCGTGAGTAAAGGGGTCAGTGGAAGAAAACAAAGGACATGATCAGGTAGGGCCTCGTAGGCCATTAGGGTAAAGATTTTGTAAACCATTATCATCTCCAGATAAGGAAACTAAGTCAGAAAGTACAAAGGACTTGCCTAAAACAAAGAAAAAGTGAAGTCTTGGGAAGTACCCCTGCATTGCTACTGCAACTTCTACTCAGGGCTCAAGCTTCTTCCCACGGAGACCGAAAGTTTCTTTAAAAAACAAAGAAAGAGACCACGTATGTGCCTCATCATGGCAGGAGAGGCAAGGTACCCTAAAACCCAGCAACCCCCATTCTGAGTACATTCCCCAGGGAACTCTCACGAAGGGAGCTGTATACAAGGATGGTCATGGATGCACGTTTGAGGCAGCAAGAGGCTGGAAACAACAAAGTTGTCTGATGCTAATAATAAGGAATAATAAGTGGAATGTGGTACACGCACCAAGAGAAATAATAAACTAGGTGCACATATAGCATCATAGAACTCAGAAACACGGCATTTGGTTAAAAAATTAAAATAAACAAATAAAAGTTGCGGGTGTTCATTGCTTCAGTTTGAATAATCTTGGTTCTCCTCCTTCCAAGAAGGTCCCGCCCACTTTCAAAATCACTGTGGCCCTGTGATTTGCCTTGGCCAAAGGAATGAGAGCAAAAGTGAGCTGCGTCACTTCTGGACAGGAATTTTAATAGCCAGGATGTGGTTCACAAATTCCCTTCTCACATGAGTATATTTCAGAAACGGTGCTTCCATCAGCCCAGATCCCTGATGGAATCCAATTAACAGACCCTTCTACTGACCTGCAAGGGTATCAAACTACTGAGATTTTTGTGATTACCACCTCAACATAACTTAGCCTATCTCAACTAATGCAGATTTATAGCACAACAGCATTTTTAATAGAAACAATATATTTAAGGTGTACAACATAACTGGATATATGTATGCAGAGTGAAATGACTACTATTGTCAGGCTAATTAGCATATCTATCTCCTCACATAGTTACCCTTTTTGTGTGTGATGGGAGCACCTGATCTACTCGTAGCAAATTGCCAGTATTCAATACAGTAATATTGATTATAGTCACCATGATTATAGTCATCAGACCAGTAGAATTACCCTACATAACTGCAACTTTGTACCCTTTGACCAGCCTTGTTTCCCCACCTCGCTGCCCCTGGTAACCACTTATCTACTCTCTTCTATGTATTTGGCTTTTTTGATTCCACATGCAAGTGAGATCAAGAAGTATTTTTCTTTGTGTCTGGTTTATTTCACTTAGCATAATGTCCTTCAAGTTCATCCATGTTGTCAAAAATGGAAGGCTCTTCTTTTTTAAGGCTGAATAATTAGACAGTAACATTCAGCACTCTAAGCACAGAAACACACAAAACAATACTATCTACCTCCCAAAGGTACACATATCCCAACAAATAGGTGGAACTACGAGACCACTGTTAAATATCCTAGAGTGGGTGAGTGAGCACCTGTGAAAGAAAAACAAACAGAGACAGGAATGAAAGTAAAGGAAAAAATAAAAGAAAAAATAAAAGGTTAAATACATTGTACAAATATAAATTCCATTCACTCACTAATTCACTCAACAAACCTTTGTGCACTTAGTAGTGTCAGGTATTATATTATATTATTCTAGGTAGAACTTACAGAGCAATGCGTCAAAAAAAAAGCATTCCTATGCTTATAGTTTATGGTGTACAGAAGAAAGATATAAAATACCCTAATAAAAATTACAGACAGTGAACAAGTGCAATTTTAAATCAGATGACATGATAAAGAGGGAACTACTTTCAATCAGGTGGTCTATGAATATCTCTGAAGAAATGTCATTTAGGCAGAAAGGTGAAGACTACTTCCTTCCCAGCCTGGGAAGAGGAAGGGATGATTCATTCCACACAAAAAGAACAGCATATGCAAGGTCCTGGAGGGAGTATGGACCATCCCATGGCGGAAGTGAAAGAGGACCAGCAGGAAATGTGGTTAAAGAGATGGGTGTGGGAGGGCTACAGAAGGCAGTAACTCCATCTCATAGCCCAATATAAAGAGTCTGGATTTTATCCTAACTGCAATGGAACCATGAAAACATTTTAAACAGGAGAATGATACAATCTTATTTCCAATTTCTCTCATTCTAACACAATATGCTCATATGATTTTGCAAAACTTGCACAAGAAATATTTTTGCATTCTTTTTCTTCAAGAACCCCAAAACTTGCATAAATGTCTGGTCCTATATAAACCAGCTCCATCTGAATGGGCACTCAGGTAAATCCCAAGGTGCCAGGGAGCCACAGAGGAGACGCAACCTTGCCAATTTAGTTCTTTACTGTCAATGGATTTTTTCTTCAGTTTATACTGTATGATATTATATTCAGAATTGTGCTCAGGTCTAATCACAAAAATCAGAACAGCAGCTTTGCTTGAGAAACACTTTCAGAGGTGAGAGATGAGGATATATCCAACTTCCCCCAGTAGCTCCAGGAAATGCAGGGGAACAGTCCCCTGTTTGTCTCAACCAGCCTACACAAAGATGCCTCCTATTGTAACACAGCAATGAGTCATGGAGGTAGATGCCGATAGAACAGAAAAAAGCAAGGGAAAGTTGTTTATCCAGAAGCAAAGCCACCTTAACACACATATCCACCACCAAGAATAGAAATTACCTTCCAGTTTGCTTCAGCTTTCTCAATATTTACCCTCTACGAGATACCAGCAGCTAATATTTATTGAAGGTTTACTGTGTATTAGATCATTTAGTCTTCACGACTCTAAGTTCTCTCGTTAGTCCCATTTCACAGATGAGAAAACTAACCTAAGCCTTAGAGAGCCTGACAGACTTGTCCCAGGTCACAAAACCACAAGTAACAGTGCCAAGCTTCAACCTTAGCCGGACTTGAGTTCAACCTCTTATCCACTACCAAGAATCTCCCAGTCCCACCCAAATTCTTCTGCTGCCAACTCCAGAGAAGTTTCTTCTTTTCTTCCCTGTTAGTGTTTTGTTTTAATGAAATCCCTCCACTTTGCAAGAATACAGCTCTGGAATCACAATAACCAGAATGACAACAGGTATTTCCACCCATTTACCTTCCTCCAAATCAAAAAGGAGCAGGATGATCAGGCCACAACATTCTGCCAGTATATGCTGTGATCAAAATTCATCCTGCCCTGCCTTCAGGGGCTTTCAGTCTGTTTTAAGGGGATAAAAATCTGTACAGTAAACCTGAACTGATGTGTACAAATCAATCCACTGACCTGCACAAGTCAGCATCATGAAAAACAGAACGCTACAGTAGTGAAAGGGTTTGTTGAGAGCAGGTGTGAGGAACCTGGCTGAGCTCACACCACAGGTCCACCACCAGCCTTGTGATCACTACAGGGATGGACAGTCACCAAGCAAATAGGTCCATGGGCTTTTCAAATCTAGAGATAGAAAGGAAGATTACAGAAATCATGAAGGGTAGAAGAGGCAGGCCCATTCTACATTTCATCAGCTAGCTTCCTAAAGACTCCAGCAGGCAGGTAAAAGATTAAGAACCAAATCTTTTCTGGTTATTTCTCCACCAAGCCTGCTCTCCCTCCTTCATACAGTCTTATCCCTTACTCAGGATGCAAGAGTTGTGGGAGCTCAGAAACACCCATAAAATAGCCTCATTGTTATTTAATGAAATAAAGTGGTCTGTGAGCAACACTGAAAGCTGCAAAAATGGAGCACCTTGTGTATGGCTTCCACGGCCATGGTGTTCATGTCTCAAGTCAGGAGTTTAGGGCTCACGGTCAAATAAGGAAAGCCAGGAAAGTCAATGGTGAGCAGTGATCTGTTAATGAATACACGGTCAGTTGAAGTCGCTCCCTTACACTCAAGAGAGTTTCCATGAAGAAGGCCAAGGACAGGGAGCCCCAACATCGGCAAGGGGAAAGCCATGGGGATACGTGTGTACACCGCCCCCCCCAGCTGCCAGGCAGCCCGCCCACAGGTGTCAGGCACTAAAGGTGATGCTGCTCGCTGGTCCCAACTCCACAGCCTAGGCCGGTCTCAGACACAGACGCGATTTTAATTCTTTGCAAGACATTTGCTCCCTTCTTCCCACAGGCCAGAATCCCAAGGGATGTGGAGAAAACAGCTGAGGAGTGGCACGCGATAAACCAGTTATTTGGGGGGAAGAGGCGGAATGCCCAGTGGCCAGGGATGACTAAAAGGGTCGGGGGAGGAAAACGAGACTCTCTGGGTCCACTGACTTGTCTAGTCAGGAGAACAATCAGTGCTTAGTCACCGATACCTCGGCGGCCGGAGTTTCTCGCCCCGCCAGCCCGAGACGTACGTGACGAACCCGAGCGGAGCTCCGCGCGCCGCACACAGCCGACTCCGCTCGTGCGCCCCGGCGGGGGCCTCCCCAGCCCGGCCCTGGCGCTCGCCACCCACCCCAGACTTACTCCGCCGAGCTGGTCCCGTTGACGGCGGAGCCGTCGGGGGCCGGGTTCAGCTGGATGGGCGTCGGCTTCTTCTTAGGCATTTTGGACCCAGGGAAGGCTCTTCCAACTCCTAGGAGAGAGCGGCTCCTTTTGCTTCCTCCCTCCGCGCTGCCCCGAGCCAGCCGTGCGGGGCCGAGTCGGGGCCGCGGGCCCGGGAGCTGTCTTCTCGGGGTGCGCTCCGCGCGGTCCCGTCAGCGCCGAGGAGCCGGTGGAGGTCTCGGGGAACCACTTGCTAAGGGCTCGGCTCGCGGAAAACCGAAAGGCTTCCCGGCGTAGCGCGGCAGCCTGGGAATCCCTCCCTCTCTTCCTCAGTCAACCAGACCCTCGGGCACGAGCGGCCCCCCCGGGCGCGCACCAGAACCCAGCTGGGGATGCAGCCGGGGAAAGTGCAGCCGCCGCCGTCGCCGCGTTCCCAGCCGCTCAGCGTAGTCGACCCAGGGACCGACTGGAGGAGCAGGGAGGGGCGAAAGGGGAAGCCTCGCCCCCTACCGGGACAGCGGCGTTCTCCAGCCATTCGGCTCCGCCCCTATTACCTCCCAGACAGCCAATGGGAGCACGCCTCGGCGGCAGATGACGCGGAAATACGTCACGGGGCGAGGGCGCTGCCCTAGGGGCGGAGTCCGCTGCTGGCTCCACAGTGCCCTCTGCTGCTGCGACGCTCTCTGGGGGGCCCATCAGGAAGAGAGGCCGTGCGTCCTGTTCTCCGCAGCTAGTGGCGAGGTGGGCTTGACCGGCCAGGTGCCGCGCGTTCTCCTCCTCTGCGAAGACTAGAGCTCCCCAGGGCCGGTCACGTGGACGGAGATGAAATAATAAAATTAATAAGGAGAAGGACCCCCCCCCTTCATTTCTAGAGAGGAAGTGTAAGGGAGTAGAAAACTTGTCAAGAGACTCCTTGAGCCTAACTGTCAGATACGTATGTCATAAATATATATGTAACTGTAATACACACTACTGATGAGGGTAAAGGGAGATGGGTACTCAGTGCTAAAGAGATTGTAAAGTGGGGCAACCCTTTTTGGGGCAAATTGGTAATATTTTTTAAAGCTTTAAAAAAGCCTTTCACCTAATAATTCCAATTATATGAAACTTGAAGAAATAAGAGGAAAGAGTTTAACACAAGAGGCACAATACCTACACCCATTCAGTCCTTCTCTTCCCCTTTGCCCTTCCTAAGTATTCAGTCTGAAAGGCATTAGGTGTGCAGAAAAAAGTAAACATCTGCACCTGGTGGTCTAGAGCAGGGTGTAATCTGCCCAGCTGTCTGCAATAGAGAAAGAAAGGTACCTTTTTCATTTTGTAGCCCTTGGTACTGTTTGAATTTTTTATGTATATAGCTCGTTCAATTAAAACATCTAAAAAATTTTTTTGTTAAACATTAACATAGGAATGTAAAATAGTGCAGACACTTTAGAAAATAGGCTGGCAGTTCTTCAAGTTAAGTGTGACATAGCAATTCCAATCCTAACTATATACTCAAGGGAAATGAAAAACATATATATACACAAAACTTGTGTACAAATGTTAATGGCTGCATTATTCATAATAGCCAAAGAATGGAAACACCCCAAATGTCCATCAACTGATGAATGGATAAATAAAATGTAGCATAGCCATGCAATGGAATATTACTCACCCATAAAAAGGAATGAAGTGCTGACTGGATGAACCCTGAAAACATGCTATGTGAAAGAAGTCAAAAAAGACCACATATTTGCAATTCCATTTATGTGAAATGTTCAAAATAGGCAACTCTATACAGACAGAAAATAGATGAGTCATTGCTTAAGGCTTGGTGGGGCAAGTAAACAAGATAGTCAGATAATACCTAATGGGTATGGGGTTTCTTTATAAAATAATGAAGATGTCCTAAAAGTGATAGTTGTACATCTCTATAAATTTATTAAAACCATTGAATTATACATTTTAAATGAGTGAATCATATGGCACATGAATTGCCTCTCAATAAAGCTGTTAGTAAAATAATAACAACAGCAAGGAAATTAAAGGGGGAAAATAAAATAGCTAAGACAATCTTGAAGAACAAAGCTGGAGGATTTACACTATCAAATACCAAGATCCATCTAAGATTACTTAAGACAGTATTCCACTGGCACGAGGAAAGGCAAACAGACCAATGGGGTAGAATAAAGAGTTTGGAAATAAATCTATGCATATTTGATAACCCATTTTATGACAAAAATTACAATACAGTGCACTAGGGGAAAGGATAGCCTTTTAGGTAAATGGTGCTAGGTCAGTTGAATATCCATATGGGGAAAAAAATGTCTTGACCCCTACATCACACCATAGATAACAAATCAACTCTAGATGGATTATAGAACTACATAAAACTTTTATAAGAAAATATTGGAGAATATGTTTATGGCATTAGCATAGGCAGAGGTTTCTTAAAACAAAAAAAATACAAATCATAAAGGGAAAATCTGATGAATTGGATTTCAATGTTAATCACCTCTGACCTTCAAAAAGGATAAAAGGACATTTTCAACACATATATTAGAACTTATATCTGTAATATATAAAAACTACTACATATTAACAAGAAAAAGACAAACAATCCAATAGAAAAACTCACAAGAGACTTGAATAGGCACTTAATAAAACAAGATATGCAAATGGTCAATAATCATGAAAGATGCTGACCTTTTTTAGTTGTCAGGAAAATACAAATTAAAACCATAATGTGAGTACTTAATGTGACTAAATTATACACTTCAAAAAAGTAAAAATGGTGAATTTCATGTATATTTTGCAACAATTAAAAAAAACAGATCACGGCATGAGACATGAGACAGAGGCTTCCTCATAAAACCGCATACAATTCGAAAATATAGTTGGTGCAACTAATCCTGACAGCAACAGGAAAGAGGATGGCGCCAGACTGCATGCACCTGGAGAAAACAGCAGACCTCAGCGAATGGGGTAACTTACCAGAGCTGTGGCTCCGCGGACTCGAGCCCCTCCCCCACCCCAGCTCACTGGCTGGAGGAAGAGAAATGGAGCCCGGAGGGAGTGGAAGGCTTGGGACTGCTGAATACCTAACTCCGGAGATCTGTGCTGGGAACACAAACCTACATTTCATGGTGCTTTCATGATACTCGCATGATTATGGGATTGGAAAACTAATTCCTGGGGAGACTGAGATTCCAGCCACTTGTAGAAAGTAGGGATACATATCTAGCTGCTCTGGAACAAAAGCTTATACCTGTGGGTCAGCCCACTGGCTCAGGCAGTGGAGACAGGCATAGCAGATGGGAAACAGGGAACAACTCTTTCCTCCCCCACAAGGCACCAATACCATTCTCCTGTGACCCCCAACATTGCTTCAGGGGCTGAGCAGCTCCAGAGAGTAGAGCTTCTGGACACCAGAGGGCTCCATATACAAATATAAAGTGCCAGTGGAATCTGGTCCAAATTAAAATTAATATAACTCTGGAGAAAGATTTAAATGACATGGACCTTATGACTCTTCCTGAAAGGGAGTTCAAAATAAAAATCATCAACATGCTAACGGAGGTACAGAAAGATATCCAAGAACTCAGGAATGAATTCCAGTCGGAGATCCAATCATTGAAGAGCATGATGGAGGGTATTAAAAGCAGGTTGGATATGGTGGAGGAGATGATAAATGAAATAGAAACTAGAGAAGGGGAATACAAAGAAGCTGAGGCACAGAGACAGAACAGGATCTCTAAGAATGAAAGAATATTGAGAGAACTGTCTGACCAATCCAAATGGAACAATATTCACATTATAGGGATACCAGAAAAAGAAGAGAGAAAGGGATAGAAAGTGTCTTTGAGGAGGTAATTGCTGAAAACGTCCCCAATCTGGGGAAGGAGATGGTCTCCTAGGCCATGGAGATCCATAGATCTCCCAACACAAAGGACTCAAGGAAGACAACACCAAGACATATAGTAATAAAACTGGCAAAGATCAAGGATAAGGACAGACTGTTAAAAGCAGCCAGAAACAGAAATAAGATCACATACAAAGGAAAGCCCATCAGGCTCACATCAGACTTCTCAGCAGAAACCTTACAGGCCAGAAGGGAGTGGCATGATGTATTTAATGCAATAAAGCAGAAGGTTCTGGAAACAAGATTACTTTATCTGGCAAGATTATCATTTAAATTTGAAGGTGGGATTAAACAATTTCCAGATAAGCAAAAGCTGAGAGAATTTGCCTCCCACAAACCATCTCTACAGTCTATTTTGGAGGGACTGCTATAGATGGAAGTGTTCCTAAGGTTGAATAGCTGTCACCAGAGGTAATAAAACCACAGTAAAGAAAGTAGAATGGCTAATTACTAAGCAAATGCAAAATTAAATTAACTTTCCCCAAAGTCAATCAAGGGATATAAAAATAATACAGAATATGATAACTAATAGATAAAGAATAGAAGAGGAAGAAAAAGGAAGAGAAAAAGAAAAGAACCTTTAGATTGCATTTGTAATAGCATATTAAGTGAGTTAAGTTAGACTCTTAGATACTAAGGAACTTAACTTTGAATGTTTGGTAACCACAAATCTAAAGCCTACAATGGCAATAAGTACATACCTATCAATAATCACCCTAAATGTAAATGATCTCAATGCACCAATAAAAAAACATAGAGTCACTGAATGGATAAAAAAACAAGACCCATCTATATGCTGCTTACAAGAGACTCACTTTAAACTTAAAGACATACACAGACTAAAAGTCAAGGGATGGAAAAAGATATTTCATGCAACTAACAGAGAGAAAAAAGCAGGAGTTGCAGTACTTGTATCAGACAAAATAGACTTCAAAACAAAGAAAGTAACAGGAGACAAAGAAGGACATTACATAATCATAAAGGGGTCAATTCAACAAGAAGATATAAACATTATAAATATCCTTGCTCCCAACACAGGAGCACCCACATATGTGAAACAAATACTAACAGAATTAAAAGGGGAAATAGAATGCAATGCATTCATTCTAGGAGACTTCAACACTCCACTCACTCTGAAGGACAGATCAATTAGACAGAAGATAAGTAAGGAGGCAGAGGCACTGAACAACACAAGAAAACACATGGACCTAACAGACACACCTACGGAACTCTACACCCAGAAGCAACATAATACACATTCTTCTCAAGTGCACATGGAACATTTTCAAGAATAGATCATATACTAGGCAACAAAAAGAATCTCAGTAAATTCAGAAAGACTGAAATTGTACCAACCAGTTTCTCAGACCACAAAGCTATGAAATTAGAAATAAATTATGCAAAGAAAATGACAAATCCCACAAACACATGGAGGCTTCACAACATGCTCTTAAATAATCAATGGATCAATGACCAAATAAAAACAGAGATCAAGCAATATATGTAGACAATGACAACAATAATGCAACACCACAAAATCTGTGGGACACAGAGAAGGCCACGCTAAGAGGAAAATATATTGTCATACAGACCTA